TCAGATTTTAACCTAATTTTTTAAAGTGGGTTCATATTTGGGCCCCATTAACCCATTAACACAAAATGGGCAGTGATCTCGTTTATCCATTACAAAATTAAAAAAAAAAACAATAAACACAATATCCGCATAACAATTCAAATACAATTGTATGTTTAACCATCTCGAACCCAAACTAACCCATAACGAGACACTTAAAACTAAATGAGCATTCTATAACAGATAAAACAAAGAACATTACCCGCTAACACGTTATTTTAAACTAGGTTAGAACTATTTAGATTGTAGATTAGACACGTTACGAAATGTATTACGAAACTAATCTTAGATTAATATTTGTTGCTGACGGTCATTTGACCAGTCGTTGTCGGTTTGAATCTCTTGAAATAATAATTATTAAATAAATCGTAGAATTTAATGAATATATATTATTATATATATATTTTTATTGCCGTAAAGTCGTCGTGGCCTAACGGATAAGACGTCCGGTGCATTCGTGTTGAGCGATGCACCGGTGTTCGAATCTCAGGCGGGTACCAATTTTTCTAATGAAATACGTACTCAACAAATGTTCACGATTGACTTCCACGGTGAAGAAATAACATCGTGTAATAAAAATGAAACCCGCAAAATTATAATTTTCGTAATTACTGGTGGTAGGACCTCTTGTGAGTCCGCGCGGGTGGGTACCACCGCTCTGCCTATTTCTGCCGTGAAGCAGTAATGCGGGTAGTGTTACCGTCTTACCGTCGCTCGTGGACGTCAGCAATGCTATTTTATAGGTTACTAGCGACCGGCCCTCGCTTCGCTTCGGAAACTGTAATTTATTATTGATTTCTCCACTATTTAATGGATGTTATTATACATATGAACCTCCCTCTTCAATCACTCTATCTATTAAAAAAACCGCATAAAAATCCGCTGCGTAATTTTAAAGACTAGAGGTCCCGTAGTAGTCGAAATTCGACTATAATTAATTGGAATTGTAAGTTTGTACACTATTATGATTGTATTTTATACTTCTATAATTACAAATTTCGCCAAGACTACACTATAAAAAATATTAACAAAGACAAACAATATTTAATCTATTCTCAATTTGACAACGGACGTCAAGAACAAAAGTTTGACTATAAATAGTATGCATGCGTGTGTGCTTCAAATACATGGTATGTAGTGTGTGTAATGTTTTCTTTATCGATTTAATGTATCTTTAATGCAATATTTAAAAAAAATATTAGCATTGTGCACTTCTTCTCTATATTCTCTATAAGTGTGGAAAATTTCATACTCCTCCGTCCGCGCAATTTTCGTAAAAACGGATACAAAGTTTTTGCTTTACGTATTAATATATAGATCTAAGCAAACATAGGGACAGACAGATATAGGGACAGAGAAAGCGACTTTGTTTTATACTATGCAGTGATTTCTTTACCTTGACGACGTAGCATCCAAATGGTGAAATGAAAAATCACAGTTGACAGTTGTCGTGTATATCTGAGCGATTTGAAAGTTTGTGTAATTTTTATTTCCATTGTATTATGGAAAAGACTTTTTGCATCGTACCAAAATTGCATAATCAGTGAACCGGAAAAACATTTAACTGTCAAGGTAAAATGCACTGTAATTCCAATAGCATAAATGTTTCATTTGACAATTTAAGCTCAGTTCCCGATACGTTAAATGAACGATGCTCATTAAAATGGACACACCTCAAAACATGATACCGAAATATACAATTACCATTTCGAATCTAATTTAAAACGTAGTGTAGTGAAAGTTATGCAAATGCAAAAACACAAAGTCGATGTGTTGAGCAATCAATCAATCGTTTTCAAATGTAGTGCCGTAATTTCATCTTTATGTGAGAGGAATAAGGGATAAATGGTGGGTAGGGTTGTACGTCATTATCAAACTAAGAAGCATATAGGTTACGATACTTTGTTTTTGGCATAAGGCCGTATCACAAGAGGTGTCCGCACTTAGAAAGTCCGCGTGTTTTGTGGTACTTGACAGTCTGTAGATGTTGGGAGCAGACCACGGGCCCAATGATGTTTTTAGGCCCTACCCACCAGACGATTCCCCGTGCACTACATTAAGATTCGCGGTACCAACCCTTTTTTGACGTGACATCGTCTTATAATTCGAGGCTGCACGCACGAAAAAACATGACTCATGCGGTGTTACCTCGCTCTAAGGCGTTCCATTTAAGGCTTCAAGTGCAAGCGAGAGCGCGCAACGAGCGACAAAGAAGAACATTGTAAAAAAAAATTTATGACATAATTGTATTTATGCGTACAAATAAATGTTACATTATCAATTCACTAGTGATTTCTTTATTTCTGAGTATTTTCTTATGACGTTGTCACGTTCAACTATCGTCAGTACTTTACAGACAACGATTTTTTTAACGCTGGGGAAACAATTTACGGGGTATCCGTAAATGGATTCGAGAGGGGTAGCAGACCAGGTTATGTCGGACTCCGGCGCCTCCTGAGAAGAAGAGGGAGAAGAGGAAGACCTCCTGCCCGCCTTGAGAAAGGACTCTCTACCGACAGGCCGTCAAGACAATAGTCGACGACTCTACATCTGCCGTCTCGGTACAATAACCCCTTAGTCTGCCCCAGGTAATGACCTAGGTGACACCAATGGATGTCCCGAAATATAGTTTCAGACACCTTCCTTTAAATAAGCATAAGGGCATTTTTTAATTTATCTAAAAAACAGTGAATTTGGGATTTGAAAGTTTATAGGGTAGTTCTATTTTTTGTGTATTTGTCCTTTATCCTCCTAATCCATATGCGATTGTGATGAAGGCACTCCAGGGGAGGTTATTCTGGTAGTCTAGTATCTTCAACGCCGCACCTGCACCGCGTAATTAGTTTAAAAGAATCTATGTTTTGACAGATTTAACAATAGTCACACCTCACCGGATTCTACTAGTTACGAAACTAAAATGTAACTCGAAGATATCTTGTGATTTTCTTATGTTTACTGTTAATTATATCGGTTCAGTGATAATTCAAACATCCAAATGTTGAAGGCAAAATGAGCAATAAAGTAATTAAACTTCACAATTAAAAATTAAAATACCAATTAAAAATTACCATGATCTAAAGTTTTATTAAACTTTGTTTTAAAGTTTTATTAAACTTTGTTTTAGAGTTTTATTAAACTTTAGATCGTGTAATTTTTAATTGGTAAGTTAAATTACAAGAATTAATGTACATACATATTTAAATTACAAGTTCTACAGTTTTATTAAATTTTAGATCTTGTAATTTTAAAATTGTTTATTTTAAATTATGTATATGTATATACAATTTTTTTTTATTGCTTAGATGTATGGACGAGCTCACAGCACACCTGGTGTTAAGTGGTTACTGGAACCCCACAGACATCTACAATGTAAATGCGACATCCACCTTGAGATATAAGTTCTAAGGTCTCAGTATAGTTGCAACGGCTGACCTGCCCTTCAAACCGAAACGCATTACTGCTTCACGGTAGAAATAGGCGGAACCTACCCGCGCGGACTCACAAGAGGTCCTATCACCAGTAAATACACATACATATTATATCTTTTTTTTAATCTTTCATATAGTAACTATTGACAAGCTTTATCTATAAAAAAAAAGTAATAGAAATTATTCATTTTTTATATTTCAAAATATCGATTTCAAAAGAAAAAAGTATTATGTACAATAAATGAATTCAAATGTTTAGACGATAGTAATTATTATCGGATTTTAGATCACGAACTATGAATTAGTATGAGTACGTAAATGTGTCTTTGTTTTACGTTTTTGGGTTTAAAATTTATATCACATTCGATTTCTTGTTCCCAATGACGATGCGAAACCAAATTGTAGGGTATTAAAGCCCTGATTCGATTTCAGAAAGGGATTCTGGTTACATTCGCTGAAGCCGGCACGTGTAGAGCAAGGTCACAGTCGAGTTTCTCGTGAGAAGACTGAGAATAACATTTCAATCTAACATTATGTATGAAAGAATGCAAAAAGACATAATATTCAGAAATCTACAACGTAAATGCGCTACCCACCTTGAGATATAAGTTCTAAGGTCTCAGTATGGTTACAACAGCTACCCGGCCCTTCAAACCGAAACGCATTACTGCTTCACGGCAGAAAAAGGCAGGGTGGTGGTACCTACCCGTGCGGACTCACAAGTGGTCCTACCACCAGTAGTTACGCAAATTATAATTTTGCAGATTTGATTTTTATTACACGATGTTATTATTCCTTCACCGTGGAAGTCAATCGTGAACATTTGTTGAGTACGTATTTCATTAGAAAAATTGGTACCCGCCAGCGGGATTCGAACACTGGTGCATCGCATACGAATGCACCGGACGTCTTATCTTTTAGGCCACGATAACTACAAAATCTTCTAACATACGACAAAAACGTTTTATTTTATAGTTCCAGATGTTTCTAGTGTGTTGGGAATCGACTGTTTCACAATCAATCGCATCTGTCACCGATTATAGCCCCATTCTAATAAACTAACACCTAATAAAGCTGAAGCTTATTAAGGCTGTTGTACATTATTCTGGATCTGACGTAAAATTGGTGGTAAAATGTTTTATTAGACTCATGAGGATGTGTTTACAACCCACTGAGTTTCTTGCCGGATCTTTTCAGTGGGTCGCCATTTCGATCCGGTGGTAGATTGTGCTAAGCACTGCTCTTGCTAGGGCTAGTGTTAGCAAATTCTCTCAGGTTGAGCCCGTGAGCTCACCTACCCGTTTGGGCGTAGCTGGAATAGTCTCTTAGGCTACCAGTGAAAAAAAAGGATGGATGCCAATATACTTTGCCTTTTTTATCCCACAACCACTCCAAAATAATTGACACTTGGTCAAATCTCAAGGTGTCACTAACCAATTCAATTTTCAATTTCCATTTACTCTAGTACACATTTAAAAGTATCTATACCATAAAAAAAAGTCTTCCAATCCTAGTAGATAAATAAAAACTCACCCAGTACTACTAGGAATACGACGCAAACTAAATTTCCTGTTCTGGGATGCATATTTAAATCTGAAACAAGAAAAAATTATTTGTTAAAGCGATTTCTTTATTGACCCTAACCTCTGAATGCCTGTTAAGACACACAAAAAATCAGAAAAACAATACGTTCGGCTATACTAAGACTACTACTGGTGGTAGCACCTCTTGTGAGTCCGCGCGGGTAGCTACCACCACCCCGCCTATTTCTGCCGTGAAGCAGTAATGCGTTTCGGTTTGAAGGGTGGGGCAGCCGTTGTAACTATACTTGAGACCTTAGAACTTATATCTCAAGGTGGGTGGCGCATTTACGTTGTAGATGTCTATGGGCTCCAGTAACTACTTAGCACCAGCTGGGCTGTGAGCTCGTCCACGCACCTAAGCAATAAAAAAAAACATATTCTGATCTATTTTTGTGATTGAGGGCTTACTAGCGGCCCGGAGGCCTTTCCATTTTCACCAGGACAGATGGGCGAGCAAAGACTCAGCCAAGAGGCCAAGAGGGCGTATTCTGATGTATAACTGGACAAACAAAACGCATTGATTCTATGAAACTATTTTTGTTTGACTATCAATTTTTTGTTTTATTAAAAGACTTTCATCTTTAAAAACACTCAATATTTAATAGAGGCGTGAAGGAGCTCATATTTATGATTAAGTCTAAGTCTCAATTTAACTCGCAATACGACGTAATCACAATAAAGAATAAATAAATAACAAACCCGCCACTAAAGTTCGAATACCTCGTGACTTAAATTTCTTATAACATTATATTTTTTGCCGAAAGCGAATTGTTTAATTCGGTAGTAATGAAAATGAATGTAAAAAATGACAAATTACAAAAAAATAATACAAAAGCAATAAATACTATGCGAATTATGAGGATTCTACTAATGGACGTGAACTAGCATTGGCAGCCAACATTACTTAAGTAATTACCGCACAGCAGTAGCTCCGGTTTGAAGAGTGGGATAGCCGTCGTTTTGAAGTCGTCGTGGCCTAACGGATAAGACGTCAGGCGCATTCGTGTTGACCGATGCACCGGTGTTCGAATCTCAGGCGGGTACCATTTTTTCTAATGAAATACGTACTCGACAAATGTTCACGATTGACTTCCACGGTGAAGGAATAACATCGTGTAATAAAAATGATGCCCGTAAAATTATAATTTGCGTAATTACTGGTGGTAGGACCTCTTGTGAGTCCACGCGGGTGGGTACCACCACTCTGCCTGTTTCTGCCATGAAGCAGTAATGTGTTTCGGTTTGAAGGGCGGGGCAGCCGTTGTAACCATGCTTGAGACCTTAGAACTTATATCTCAAGGTGGGTGGCGCGTTTACATTGTGGATGTCTATGGGCTCCAGTAACCACTTAACACCAGGGGGGCTGTGAGCTCGTCCACCCATCTAAGCAATAAAAAAAAACCCGTTTTACGATACAATTGAGATTTCGACCTCTCTCCCTTTGCGCCCTACATAATGCCTACATCTAACTAAATGAGAGAAGTTTTTCAAAATACACCATACTCTATCAGCTTAAATTCTAAATTCGCAAAGCGCTTTTGACACTCATCATCTGTACTTATACAACAAGTTTTTTACGTTCATCAAACTACATATATAAGTTACACGAACTCTAAAGAACTAAATGAGATTTTTTTTCCTTCTTATTAATTCAATTAAGAATCATTTGTTCGTGTGAATAGATTTTTTATTTATTTGAATATTAACAGATAAAAAAAAATTAGAGATAGATTAATGAAGTAATTTTGTAAAGTTTTAAAACTAAAATTCCGTTCTCGCTGATTGGTTAATAAATAGAGTGGAGTTTTATGTTTGTTATATTATTTTTTTATTGCTTAGATGGGTGGACGAGCTCACAGCCCACCTCGTGTTAAGTGGCTACTGGTGCCCATAGACATCCACAACGTAAATGCGCCACCCACCTTGAGGTATAAGTTCTAAGGTCTGAAGTATAGTTACAACGGCTGCCCCACCCTTCAAACCGAAACGTATTACTGCTTCACGGCAGAAATAGGCAAGGTGGTGGTGCCTGCCAGCGCGGACTCACAAGAGGTCCTACCACCAGTTATTGAGTGGTAGTTGAAGNGGCTACTGGTGCCCATAGACATCCACAACGTAAATGCGCCACCCACCTTGAGGTATAAGTTCTAAGGTCTGAAGTATAGTTACAACGGCTGCCCCACCCTTCAAACCGAAACGTATTACTGCTTCACGGCAGAAATAGGCAAGGTGGTGGTGCCTGCCAGCGCGGACTCACAAGAGGTCCTACCACCAGTTATTGAGTGGTAGTTGAAGTGGAACTAAATAGCTTCATCATATGATGCCAAAATGTCTGGTACTGAAAAGGTAGAATAGGCAATATAACGGTAGGCAACACGTTGGCTGTGCCCCTGACATTGCTGACCTTAATGGGCGACGGTAACCACTTACCATCAGGTGGGCCGTATGCTCCTCTGCCTACAGGGAAAATAAAAAAAGCAAGGTCGCGAGGTTTACAAGCTACGAACCGTCAACTGAGCTCACAGGTTCAACCTGGGAAAACTTGCTAATAGTAACCCTAGCAAGAACAGTTCTTCGCAGAATCTACCACCAGATTAGAATCGGGACCCATTGAGAAGATCCGGCGAGAAACTCAGTGGGCTGTGTCTACGTGCTCTTTTGTAAAATTAACTAAGTGGGACTATTATAATAATATTTTCAGAAAACCACTCAGATTTTTGCATTCAAATATGATTTCACACCAAAAACAAAAATAGTTGAATAATTTAATTAATGCAATAATATACTTGAACTAAAAGACACAATGACAAAATAAAATTATATAATTTACATTAATACATCATACTTAATTTGTAGGTAGTAACCACATTAGGGATGTCAACCAGAAAACGGTTGAATAATATATCTAAGTACATATAAATTTAAATTTGTAGGACAAACAAAAAGTATATTTTTTATGAGTTATTTCATTACGATTATCGTAAATTAGTCTGTAACAGGCACAACCGATAATGTACTTCTATGTTATATATATGGTGTTAAGCAGTTACCAAAATACATCTACAAGGTAAATATCGTCCCTCATCTTGAGACATGTGTGCTTAGTGCGAGTTTTTTTGAAACTGCGCCCCTAGCGGCAAACGTAGGGGCGCTGTTCTTACAAATTTGAGTTAATTTCTTTCAAATTTGAGTTAACTTTTACGCGATTGAGAATTTAAACAACTCGCACTAAGCACAGTGAGTTGTTCTAATGTCTCAGTTTTTACGGTACAACGGCTGCCCCACCGTTCAAACCGAAACGCATTACTGCTTCACGGCAGAAATAGACAGGGCGGTGGTACCTACCCGTGCGAACTCACCTCTTACCACCAGTAAGTACGCAAATTCTAGTTTTGCGGGCTACATTTTTATATAACACGATGTTCTCTTTCACCGTGGAAGTCAAGCTTGAACATTTGTTAAATACGTATTTCATTCGATAAATTGGTACCCGCCTGCGGGATTCGAACACCGTTGCATTACTACGAATGTACTGGGCATCTTATCCTTTAGGCCACGATGACTTCGCAATAGGGTTGGGAAATTCGGTACTTAAATTCCGTCAATACTTTTTTTTTATAATTAAAGGATCATTAGTGGCCCGGATGTGTCCTGTTCTCTTAAGGTCTTTTTGGACGAAACAACACGTCGCGTATCATTCGAGATAATTTAAATAGTGAGTATGTAATAGAAAAAGTAGCAGTGTGGCTATAAACAGTATTGTTGAATTAAAGACATATATTTGGTTTCAATCCAAACGATATTTTTAAAGGTAGACGAAATTATGGTAATTACGGAAAATGAATTCACTGCCTACCTACTGAAGCCCATAAATAGTAGAACAAAACTAGTGTGCTTGGTGCGAGTTTTTTAACGTTCTCGACCGCGTAAAAGTTAACTCAAATTTGTATGCAATTAGAACGGCAAACGCAGGCCGCTGCAACAACATACAAATTTGAGTTAACTTTTACGCGGTCGAGAACGTTTAAAAAACTCGCACTAAGCACACAGGTCCTGCTTAGGAACACATCGCAAAACATGCTTATGGTAGGCGGCTTGGCTCTGCCCCTGGCATTGCTGACGTCCATGAGGACGGTAACCACTTACCATCAGGTGGGCCGTATGCTCGTCTGCCTACAAAGGCAATAAAAAAAATGCTTCGAAATATGCTAAGTTAACAATCGTAAGCTTACGCAGAAAAAAACCCGAATAGTAAACAATAAAAAATATTTTAAAAGAATTGACAACCCTAGTAGCGCTAGCAGCAGGATTGCAATATAATATTTTATTTTGTACGTAAATCACGTCATTCTTGTTAGATGTACCTATGTCAGATTAGTTATGAAACAGTCGGAGACTCGACACGATGGCTAACTCAAGGCTTTGACCCTGGTAATAAATTAGTCGATTATTTTTTCTGTGCTATGTATCTATCCTTTCAATACTTCTTTATCAATTTATAAGGAAAATATCGTATATTCAATTTTTTTTAAATACCAAAATGTTATATGTTTTTCGGATATGCTTCGACAAACGAAATTAGGCTCTATAGACATAATGTCAAAGTCTCAACTGCACAAATACCTCGATTACACTTCGGGCTGCGACAAATACAATAACTCTAATAACTAGAGGTCCCGCAGTAGTCGAAAATCGACAATAATTAATTGGAATTGTAAGTTTGTACACTATTATGATTGTATTTTATACTTCTATAATCACAAATTTCACCAAGACTACCTACACTATAAAAAACATTAACAAAGACAAACAATATTTAATCTATTCTCAATTTGACCACAGACGACAAGAACAAAAGTTTGAAAATAAATAATATGCATGCGTGTGTGCGTCAAATAAATGGTATGTAGTGTGTGTAATGTTTTCTTTATTGATTTAATTTATCTTTTATGCATTATTTAAAAAAAATATTAGCATTGTGCACTTCTTCTCTATATTCTCTATAAGTGT